TGCGTGTCACATCAGCGCTGTGGAGCGTTCACACAGGGGTCTGATGCAGGTCACATTTAAAATGTAATGTGAACGTTCACACAAAAAGATCGGATTTTTTCAAAAAATCGGAACTGAGGATTAAGACCTGCAGTGTGAACGTAGCCAAGGATATTGCTGTGATTGTTGAATCTGCTGTGGGGTTACCAGATTAAATGACAAATTATCATACTGCTGCTTTAAAATGTTTGCATTTTGACCCAAACGATATATGTGTGTGTTGTGACTAGCGAACATGTGACTAGAAAAGGAGGGGAACCTGACCCTAAACCTCTCATAAAAATGGTAACCACCAGGAAACACTGATGTTAGAGGACTTTTAGTAGGGATGCACTATATCTCGGTATTGATATTGGTATCGGTCGATATTGGTCATTTTTAGAATACTGTATCGGTCCGATTAGGCCTGAAACGATTCCTCGAATAATTCGATTTTAAAAAATCCAAGGAAAATTTATCTGCCTCGAAGCTTCGTAAAAAATACATACTGTTATAATCAGCACACTTTCGTCCACCAGGAATGTTATTTGTGTTACACACCATGCTACGATATTAGCACTTCCGCTAGCAGTTAAGGCTCCCACATACTTGGGCATACTTCGGTCTGTGCTTCGGTCCGCGCGGACTCAATGCGGACTCGAAGCGGACGTCCGCTGGACTGGACCGCGCAGAAATCACTTTTTATCGTCCGTGTACGCATACTCGGTGTCGCACAATAAACAGCCCGGCGAGAAACAGGACCTCGGACTGTCGACGCGTCACGCATGTATGCTTGCTAAGCTAAGCTACATTTAGCTTTAGAAGAAGACGAAGAGTGCCGAAACGAAGCGCTCAGAAAACGATAAATTATAAAAAGCATGGGAACATTTAAAACTAAACAGAAAAGAGGACAACGTGCAGTACGCTTCACATCCTCGATGTTTCTGCACCGGAACAAAAACAGCGGCTGAATGTACCGAACATGTCTGGAGTTTACAAAATCGTTTACGTTCCCTTATGTTACCTAATCTGTGCTAATCTGTCAGGTTACAGATGTACAAGGAGGAGGAGGTGTGTTTAAGCTAACTATTTGTGCTGACTAATCATGGTGACCTGGCAGGGTTTTATTAAACAGTGTGTAAGTTGTGTGGTTAAAAACAAGACTTACTGTAAATTTGTCAGATTAAAATAAAATCATAGCAACAGATCGACAGCTTGAGCTGAAACACATTTATTTGTTGATTTGATTTTATCTTAATTTAAATGATACTTGGAGTTATGGCTGCAACTAACGATTATTTTAATAATCGATTAATCTGTTGATTATTTTTTCGATTAATCGATTCATCGGCCAAATCATTAAAACGCTTAATTACATGAATATGAGTAGATATAAATTAAGTTAACTCCTTAAGGATGCAAGTTATTGATGATGAATTAATCTGAAGTTGATTTATCTTATAGATTGATTAACAAGTAATTGATAAGCAGCCATTTTTTTAAAAAAAACCTGAGTTTTCTCTTTAATC